GAGATCTTCTCAAAATGTTGATTGTGATTATTCTATAAGTTCATTAGTAACAAATTAAAATTTAAAATTTTCACTCTCATGATTTGTTATAATATAGAAATCTTATATAACCATATTCTCATATGGTAATAAAAACTATACCTCTTTAATTTTTTAGATAAATAATAAAATATATAAAAATAGTCATTAAATTTAATTTCTTTTCATATGATTTGAAGATCATTATCTTTATAGTATAATCTCAAATATATAAATATATCAAATTAAGTTTTGCTACTAATCAATAACTCAAAATAAGTTAATAAAACTGACTTATTAGAAACTCTCTTCAAGATATAAAATAGTTGTCCTTAAAGTTTCTCTTCAATTCAAGTATAGAAGAATAACTCATCATACTCCTAACCATATCTATAATAGTATGATTTTACCTTTCAGTAATTTGATTTTATTATGGAATATATGATAATTTTAATATTTTATCTAATTATTTTTTGACTTTACTTATGTACACCTAATGGTGTTAATAACCTGAGACCTTGAATAGTTATATCTCAACAGGTAATATATAAGTTTGATAAAATATCTCTCTCTACTAAATAAGAAATATTGAATGATATATTGATGCAAACATATATAATCTTAGAGAGTTTATGAAACTACGTTTCATTTCAATATTTGATTATAGGATATTTGTAAACTCAATATTCATATTAATTTCGTACAAACCGTCATACAAAATTTTAAAATTAACTTCTATAGAATTATAAATATATTAAATTTATAATCATTAAAAGAGAAATAATATCATAATAATTCTAGATAAAGAAACTAAACTTTTAGAATTGTAAGAACATAACATGTATCCTTAAGATTTATCAAATGAATCGTTTCTAAGCACGCGATAAGTACTAACTATTATCACTTTTATTTTAAGATGATTTCCTAGATAATGAATATTTTATATTCTTTTGGTTCTCGCATTAAAATAAGTCTCTATTATTGTTAACATAATTTAAAGCATTAGTATCAATCTACTAAGTATTAGAAAATGACTTCTATAATATTTGACTCGAACTTATATTTTTTTCCTGTTGAACGAAAACCTTATAGTTTTTTTTTACGTGACATTTCTTATCACAAAAGTAACACTTTATTATGAAGTTTTTCATTTTATGAGTTTATATAACATTTAAAAACTTGAATGATTTACGTTTTAATATTTTCTTTATTTTTACTTACTCCTTAAGTAGTATCCAAAATATTATGAGTCTTTCCTCATTTAATCTTAATTCCTTTTAAATATATATACTAGTTAGCTTATTAAAAAATTATTTATCCTTAATTTTATTATACTAAATTTTAAATTAGTGAAATTAAGAAGAAATAGAATTAATAATAAATTATATGAGAAATGACTCAACTACATTCATGTTAAATATTCTTAAGCTTATAACTTTATCGTCATACTAAGTTTTAGTCAATTCTTTTATTAATATGTCAGCCAATGAATTGTTAGTAAATTTAAATTTATTTTTAAAATATTTCAATATATTCGTTGTAGTTTGTAATGAAACCTAAATATTATTATCAATTACTATAAAACTTAATCTTTTAAATTATTTTTTGATTATATATCTCAAGTATTTATTTTATAGAACTTTTAGTAGTAACGTGTATGATTTTTTAAATAGTTTGATCAAGGTCTAATATACATAGTATAAATTGCATATGCTTAAGCAATTTATAATAATTTAATCTAGAAATATAAGAACATTTATACAAATACAATGATAGAAGTATCATTATAATAAAATAATATTAATACTTTAAATTATTAATAAATATTAAATTATTAATATTATCTCTATTTCACTCCTGAATGAAATATTAATATTTATAGTATTCAAACAAAATTATTTATGGATAATTGATATCATCCTTATGGAATAATATTATTATCTTTAGATATATAACCCTGAACTATAAGGATATCTAAAACAGTATCATCCTACCACATTATATAATTATTCAAAATAGATTCTCCATTGAGGTTATTTAAATATCCTAATTATGTATGTCATTATGAATTATATATTTTTAATATCATTTTAGACTAATTCCTTAATATAATTTTATAAGTTATTGGTCTATGCCACTTTGGCGACTATAAAATTAATATAATAATAAAAAATATTTTAGAATATCCTATAAATAATAAATTTTTTATTATAATTCATATCTCATAAGCCTAATATCCCAAGCATAATCATAATAATTATCAAACATTAATCAATATAAAAAAAAAACTCATATGATAACTGTAATAATAAATCATGTCCTTGTATGAAAAATAATTATTATTTTATAATTTCAAATATATATTGAAATAATCATATAAGTATCCAAAAATAATAATTATATTTTTAACTATCACATATAAAATTTTATTATTATGGTTCAAAGATTTGGGCTAATCATTCATCCAATTAGACTTATCAAAATTAAAGTTGATCAAAGTAAAAAAAAAAAATCAAAATTTAACTTTCTTTGAATTCAATTAAAACTTGATTGATCAAATCTAAATCCAATCAAGCAATCAAAATACAATCATGATAACGTTCGATCAAAATATGATTAAAATAAATTGAATTAGTTTATTTATAAGTAATGACATAAGTCATAAAATTTTTAATTTCTAAGGAGTAAAACTATAATTTTTCTTGGGATATATAATGAAAAATTTTAATTTCTTAAGGGCATAATTAGAAAGTAAATTTAAAGACATTGATTAGATTTTTTTAGGGGTAAAAATATTATATTAGTTAAAAAGGAAAGAAACCCTAAAACATCTCTCAACTGTCGTTGTCGTATTCCACCATGCCTGTCTCGTCGACGGTGCATAGTGTGCATCGCTTGTGATTGTCACAGCATCACCCACATCGTCACCCATTGTGGAGTCATCGCTTATAGTAGGTTAGCGATACAACCCACCAACCATTGTCGTCGTTTCCTTTTTTATTGCTCAACCAATGGGAATCATGACTTATGAGGTCTAATTAACGTTGACTGCAGCTAACAAACGTCACATCAGTAGTCATCGCAAGCAACAACACCGTTGCTATAGTCGCCTGCAACAAAGGTCGACCACCGCAAGATTGTTACACCCCACGGTGCTTCTGTTGTGTTTGTAGCTATTGCCCATGACTAGATTGGTGACCACCAGAGGCCACCACCCTCAACAATTTTATTGCTGATAGATAGCCATCGAAAAGTGGTCCATCGATCAAACACCAGGAACCTTGCATCGCTCGCAAATAAATGATAGGATGGACTAGATTGAAAGCATATCGATAATATAAATAAATCGTTCAAGCATCATAAATCAAAATCAGATAACACATTTTCACAAGTAAAGGGTACTAATAAACAAATCTAAATATAAAATAAATCTAAAATATTTTTAAGATATAAAGTATTTGATTTCAAAACATGGCTCCAAGCATAAAAATCATGATTATGCTATTATGTGAATAATTTTAATATTAAAAAATAAAATCAAATAATAGTATATCAAATATACGATGCATACTTTTTTATGCTACTCAAAAAGTTTTTATTTAATCTATAGGTGCACCATCATCGGATTTGAAAGCTATAATGATGTCGATCGGTAAAAAAAGCTAGACTCGTTTTCTCCTATCTTTCTATTCTTCATAAGATCACTACGAGCGACGAATTAAAGACAAAGAAAAAATAACAAAGTTGTTTCACCTTTAAGAGATCTTATCTTTTTATAAAAGATATCTAATCTCTCGATAACTAATTTGATTGTTTTGTCCTTGTGTAATCTATCAATATTCTATTTTTTTTTATAGACAAGAGTAGAGTCTCATCCATCAAGATTATCTTATAAGAAATTCTATTATAACTAAATTTATTTTTTATTAAATTATAATTATAATTAAAATCTAATATATTAAAGAGACAAATCAATATAAGTACAAGTAGTTGCAGCGAATCTCTGAACCCTTCTCCACTCTTCAGAGGATGAATTGATGATGGTGAACAGTTGTAGCAGTTGGACAGACCTGTACAGAATTGGTAGGAGATGCCAGAGATACGAGAATGTGAAGAAAAGGATCATGAAACTTTCTACAGCTGTTGAACAGATGAGAGCTTCGAATACAGATAACAACGACAATGGATGGATGGGATAAAAGAAAGAAGTAACAGTGATACTGCAGCAGAAACATGGCAGTTCTAGAACCCAAGACCAATGTACGAGCTGAAGATGAATTCTATAGGTGCACTTATCAAAGAACACAATCCAAGAATTCAAGACGAGGCTCTCTCTTGACTGATGAGAGCTAAGGCCAATAGGAAGACTCCCAACTCTTAATATACTCAAAACCCTGTTCTTATTGTGACTATTATGAGCATATGAATCATTCTCCCTATTATCTTTTGACTTATTAATTAATATACTTTTATCGAGTCATCCGAAATAATTAGTACATTATTATATAACTAATAGGTCTTAATTATGTAATAATTTTTTGAAAAATTATTAATTAATGCCAGTTGTCTTGTTAGGACATATTTTAGAGATTACGATAAAGAAAGATTAAAATAAAATAAAAAATTAATTTGTCCTCATAATTCGCTCTTTTCAATTATCATTTATATCGAGCAGTCAATATTTAAATCATCGAGTTCGACGCAACCGATCCGCTCATGCACTAGCCGGACAATTTGGGATCCAATCTGACCATTCGCCGTTCGATTTCCATTGATTGATTGACGATCCGTTCCCTTGATTGATTTGCCGTGCGAGACTTAAGGCGAATCGTGACCGTGCTTCCCGAATCCGACGTCTCCGACTAAAAGAGTTCACGACACCGATAAATGTAAATGTGGGAAGGCTGATAAAACAAGAAGCCCGTCTCCGCCGGCGCTCCACCCGCCGCTCGTCTGCCGCCGATCCGCCGCTCAGCGTAAGATCGTTTCTATTTCCTGTCCTCTCCTATGTCTCCTCCCCACCGCGGCAACTCCGGCAACGGCAGCCGGCATCCGATCAACTTGTCTATCGTTCATTCCAGTGGCGTCGGCCACCACTGCATCACCGGAAGCAGTGGGTGTTAGACACCGCCCTCTGTCTTCCTATTTACCTAGCTGTCTTTCTTTCGAACCTCGCCCTCTCTTTTAGACTGTGAATCGCCCATTAACGACAGTAAAATTCTTGCGTTCCTTGTAGCTTCTTCGTTCCGGCGCTGGAGAGCAAATCTGGAGCACCAACTGTGACGTCGTGCTGTAAGCCTCAATTTCTTCAAAATTATTCGGTTTCTTTCTTACCTTTTGGGGAATCATTGAAGAATGTCTTCAGATGTGGATGACTTTTGTTTGTCTCTATTGGTTCGATCTTTGCACTTTAACTATTCGAGGAACGAATTTGCACTGATTTAGTGTTTATTAAGCTCATTTATGGGTTCTCATTCTAATTTTCTTTGTTCGTAACTTTCTCGTTGGTGTCTATCTCATAAATCTTTTCTCTTGACCCTCCTCAGAATTGATCTAAAAACTGGATCTTTCTGTAGTTTTAGTTTGAAACCTGCACTTAATCTTATAAACTTATACGGCTTTTTGCAGTTCTTTACTTTCTTTGTTTTGCCCCTTTCATGTTTGTTGCCTCTTGCAGCATGTCGTAAGGTTGGATTTCCCATTGTTGTCCATTCCTCTTGAACCTGATAGTGTTACAGTATACCGTATTGCCATGCTTTGCAGGATGGGGAAATTACCAGAGAGAGTTAAGTACCGAATCCTGTCTAGAGATGTTGTGGTTGTGAAAGAACTAATTTTGGTCATGTTATTTGTAAAATAGAATGATAATGGAAGTAATATTGTGGAGCCTTCAAAACTAGCTAATGTATGAACATCTCAGATCGGAAAGGTGTGTGCCCAAGTACATTGTTACAAGATCATCGAGAAGCATTTTAGACATTCTAGTTTGATGGGGCTAGTTGTATCAAATGAAAGACTAATATATTAGTGTACCAACTTCAAGCTGAAAATTCGATCTCTCTAGCATACAATTAATGTTTACATCTGAATCAAGCACTTGGCTTGATATAACCTAAATTTTTGAGAGATAGAAGCCCTAGGTCTGAATTCTAGGAGCCATTACGACTCTAATATTTTCCATTTTCCTTCTCTATGTTTTCCTCCTGCTCAAAATCTCATTATCTTGACCTTAATATATATGCAGTTAGTTGCCTTCCTGAAATTTTAGTTAAGTTTATAAATAAATAATTACCATAGATCATAAGACAAAAGCCTTTGAAATAATTTTTGATTTTGGCCTTTCTTTCCCCTTAATTATCTAAATTGCCTCTGCAAATCCGTCAGAGCATCTTCTTGTAACCATCTCTCATGGTCCAATTGCACAGGGTTGACACTTGTTTGAGCATATTGTTGGAGTCTTAAGTAACAAACAAGAACGAGTATCTCATGTAAAGTACAGGATGCCTTGGTTGCAGGTGTTCCTAGGCATGCAATACCACTGTTAGTATCAAGGATTAAATACCAATTTGTACCAAACACCATTTCTTTCTATTTACTAAACAAAAAATTCTTCTTCGCATGAGAACCTGATCTCTTGATCTTAGGTCTTCTCTAGATGAGGGAAAAGGACTGCTCGCTATTCTACCACGGTGTTACACTTTGAACATAATCGTTTTTCTAGTCGGAGGAAATGGTCTGCATGGTTCTACCACCAGAATCTGTGTAATGCTTTGGACAAAATCCTTTTTCCTAGGTCAGGGAAAAGGACTGTATATTTCTTCTACCAGTATCTGTGATGATTTGGACACTAGTGATTGCTCTAAAGTTTCACATTTATCAAGGTGTTCTTTGTCTTACATTTTACTGATACCAACAATGCAACTTATTTTCTGTGTGTGTAGTATTTACCAGAATTTAAGATGATAACAAGGCAAGCAGCCAAAACATTGAGGAAATCTGGAGAATCTACATCAAATATTTTTAGTGCACTTCCTTTGTGCAAGCGTTCAAAGAGACTCAGAGCTAGCAAACAGACCAATTGCAGACATGATAAGAAGTTAGATAGTAACTTGTTTCAGTCTTTACTAGAGTGAGTTCCATATCCGTCAACTTTTATACATATTCTCGCTCAAACAACATAACTGAGTTGTTGTTTTTTTTTTATTTATATAGAGAATTATGGAGCAGGACTCCTGAACAAAGAAGAAGATCCTGTATATATCTTGACTGTTTATGGTTTTTTCTGTACAAGGATAAATTGACAAGAACAAAAGTGCTTAGCTGGATCAAAAAGAAGCAGATATTCTCAAAGAGATATATCTTTGTTCCCATTGTTTGTTGGTGAGTTTTCTCGCTCGTTGGTGTTTTTAAATTTTGTAAAAACACTGTACTCTCTTGACTGATCCTAAATAACAGGAGCCATTGGAGCCTTCTTATCTTATGCCATTTTGGAGAAAAACGACAATCCAGGGCAAGAAAGCCATATATGCTTCTGCTAGATTCTCTACACAAGACAGATCCAAGGAGGCTAGAGCCAGACATCAGAAGGTTTGTTTTTTCTTCTAATTTGCTTCTTTTTCAAATTACAGAATTTTCTATGCATGAATTATGATGCGTTCCTCTATCTTCACTTTCAGGTTTGTGCTCGACATCTACAGATCAGAAGAAAGGGAAGAGAATGAAGACTTTCTATCTGAGATTCCTCTTTTAATTCCCAAGGTGGCCATGCCCCACTGACATCTTCCCTTTATGGTAGCTTCTTAATTATGAACAGCTGACAATTATTTGCAGGTGCCACAGCAAAAAAAAGGCGAAGAGTGTGGCATTTTTGTTTTGTACTTCTTACACCTATTTATGCAAAACGTCCCAAGGAGTTACACAGAAGAGGGATGCCCTTGCTTTGTAAGTCTTAATTCCATATGAATATTCCTTATTTTGAATTACTGTAGGGATTATATGTCATTTCTGGATTTCTTTGTCTTTTGTCAGGTTAACGAGGACTGGTTTAAATTAGAAGAATTGGAGAGCTTCCACAATGAAATCCATTCAGCCTGGAAGTAGGGTTAATGCTTTATCAGCATATATCCAGTGTGCATAAGTTGCATCATATGGATTAGTCGGCCTGCATGAATGCCTTTATTAAAAAAGTTACATGAAGTTCATATATGATCGTGCTATTATGTTGTCCAACACAAAGAGCAGTTTTATACAAACAGCCTATTTGGTAAATTGTGGGTTTTGTGAGAGAACATAAAATAAAATAGTTCCAATCAGTACCACGCGAGCCTATATAGGTCCAGGGTTTCATGACTTAGGCTCCTAGGGAGAACTGCGAGTCCATCTTAGGTGCTTTATTTACTTGTGGAGCTTCGATGATCATAGGAGTATTGGAAATAGTTTGTTTTGTTCGTGACCACCACTGATATGGCATTCACTGAGATTATTTATTTGAGTTGTCAAACGATTGTATTTTGACCTGATAAACGTAATATTATGATCTTCTTCTAGGAGTAAAGGCCTCATGGAAGTGCAATGAGAGCAAAGTATCAAGATTCGCTACCTTTGGCTTGTATCCACCTCTCTTTTCACTTTAGTATTTCTGCTTTAGTGATATTAGAATGATGGGCACAGGACTTTCTAATTCATTTACTGTTGGCAGGTTTCCCGATGAAAACCTACGTGACACCGTTTTGAAGTGCATTTCAGTTACAAGCCTCATTTAATGTTGTTAGTTGGTGAATTAGTGGGTTGAAATTTTGTTCAGCGATGAACTGATTGTAGCTTAATCTGGCCTTTGATCGCCATATTCAAACACTTCCATTCCTGTTCAGAAAAGTAGTCGCCATGGTAGAAATTTTGCGGGTTAAACACTGTAGGTACGAACTTTAAGTGTTCATGTGATGGTTCTGCCAAACTCTGAAATTTCCTCTCATACTGTGTTCTGTAGAAGTTTTTGTGGCATGGAAGCCAAAGACACGGCAGAAGTAACTTATGAACATGGATCGAAGTCTGGATGTGTGTATGTGCATATATGATTCTGCCTTCCCATACAAATATGCAGGTAAGGTTGCGATTATGTTTGTGTTGTTATGGTTACTTTTCCGGTCTCCTCGAGATCAGATTGAGATTTTTAATGCCAATTTTCGGTAGCAACAGGAAATGTTATTTCAGATATTGAAGCAATATCAAGTCTGTAATGCATGTATCAAAGCAGATGCTCCAAGAAATCGTTGGAAAAACACTATCATCTTAACGTGTGGCTGTTTTATTGTTCACCGGTCATTGAAGTTGAATCCATGTTATCCAATTCTCAAGCAACTTGGAAGAGAGATTAATTGTGAATGTACTTACCATGGCTTTATTTCCTTTGCAAAGATGGTTTACTGTGTCCCACGCAAACCTATAAGCATTTGCTCGCTGCACCACTTGGGAGTTTAACTACAGCTTAGAATTCAACTCATGGCTGGGAGAGAGATTTTGTCATTTCATTGGAACATTTACCATAAAAGTTTCTATCCCCACCAAACAATTTGTAATGTGATGTCTCAACAAAAACAAAAGCCAACCTCTTTTAGGTTTGTTGATCCATCCCAAAGCTTCACTTCACTGTATCACCAACACACACTCCATGATCTGGGAAGAAGGTGACATTGGGGAGGTGGGTAGAGTCATGTCAGTCAGGGTCAGACAAACCCATCTGAGACAATTCCAGAGATTCAGTGATACACTTGTCTTGTTCTTATTATCCATCAGCTTCAACTCTTTAGGTTGCTATGTCCTAATCGACAAATTAGGTTAGGCTTTTGGCACCCTAGTGTGGACCTGCAACCTTGCATGTGTCTAGTAGACACTTTAAAGGATGAAATCATATCACCTAGAATGACAGTCTGATTTCTCATAAGAGTTTGATGAGGATTACAAAATTTCGATTATCACTTGCACCAAAACATAAAGTTGAATTAAGGTTACAATCATTGAATTAGGGTTACAAAACTAAACACATATATATAGTATTTGCTTCCAAGATCTACTTAACATAAAGGATGGTAACAAGACAAGATCACTGCATCTACCTGCAATGTGGCATCAGTGAATTCTTTCTTATAAGAGACATCAGCATACCTGTGAATCCATGAGAAGCCACAAGAGTTCATGTGATGTGAGAGAAGACCTTTGGAAAAAGACCAGATTCTTATCCTTCTCTCTGTAGGTGTCCCAACTCCAGTCTCTCATCTGTCTTACTTTATGTCATCCAACCCACACCCACATCCATTTAATTCCATATATCTAAGACATTGGAAGATAAAAAGTAAGGGTAGTAGTAATTCCTTCTCATGGGACTCCAATTTATCTGATTGCACTCACATCCAGTGCTGGACATGAGACATAAAGAGGGGACATGGGACTTTCATCATAGTTCATCTGCCATTGAAAGAAAGAGAGGAGAAAGAAATGTGGCAGGCAGTGACCACACAGAATCCAGGATAGACAACAAGTAACATTTTGGCAGGCATTTAAAGTGGGAGTTTAACCTCATGTTGGTCTGACACTTTTTGAGTGCTTGTCATGTGCATCAGTGCCAGCAAACTCCACCTAATATGTAACCTAAAGGAATCATGTGAGACACTTCATCCCAATGGCAGATAGATATGGCCATGATTTGTCAGCTTACACAATCTTTTATCAACATCTGCCAGCAATTTAGGGGACTTTTGTCTATTTATCTCTAAGGCTGCTGCAGCCATGAAAGCATTTACTGATCCACCTCATGAAGATGTGACTTTTCATTTCCTGAGAGGCAAATAAACCCAATGAGGCTTTCCTTCTCCACCAAAACCAATTTGGTTTTTGTAAAAGGCTGTGTACTAACTGAGACAGTCACCATGGTTGGTGGGAGATCCTCAAACTGTGTCTTGTTCCTTTTGGATGTTTACTTTCCATCTATCAAAGATCTGGCAACAAAATTCAATGCATGGAGCCTTATGGTGCATCCAACCAAGCATTTTGCTTGCTTTGCTCATTTTCTGGAAAGAGGTCTAAATGGTAGGTTATGAATTGTTTTAATTGTTGCATGAGGTGATTAGTTGAGTTAATTCCATTTTATTATTACTCTTCATTAAGAAAATATTGTCTCTATTGCTAACATTATGCATGTTTAGAATTGGTATAGAAACATTAATCATTATTTGTGTATAGTTTTTATTTATTTATTTATGTAAAGTATCTCTTAGTTAAATATTTACTATTTATGTAAGTCATATAGTTATGTATTAGTCTTTTTTTATTATCTTAGAATAAAAAAAAATAATTAATTGAAAAATTACTTAGAATAAGGTTATTCTTTACTAATTATCTTTATATTCCTACCTAACCTCTTCTAGAAAAAGAGGACTAACAACCAGGCCAAGAACCATATTGGTTATAAATGAGATTATTATTATTATTATTATCATTATACTATTTATACATTGAGTATGAGTTTATATTTTATGAGAAATACTTTAATCAGAACCTTACCAAGGATTGAAATAGAGAAAACTCCTCAAAGAGGAAACTAGTGATTATTATTACCTAAATAGGAGGCTATTGCTAATATTGTTGTTATTATTATTGTTGTGAGATTTGAGAAATAATGTACTATCTTAATCTCAACATTTTCATACATTATTTTCCAAATCTCAATTACTAAATCTCTGAGATGGGGTCTCAATCCAACACTCTTCCCATTATACTCCTTCCTCAAGTACAAGCTTGTCTCAGAATTCCCACTGACACTTCCCAGCCAACTCTCTCAACATCCTCCCACCCACTCCCCAAGAACACATCTCTTGAAGGTCCCCCAGGGACCATGTCACTTGCACCAACCTCACACTCCCTTCATTGCATTGCAGATCTCCTTTGCAAGGCCCAACCTCTCTTTCTCGCTCTTTCTCTGCAAGTAAAGGAACAGTGATCTTTGGAACATGGACTGTAGTGCTGTAGGTCCCCAAGATTGCAGTGAGAATCCACATTGGTCATCGTTCCATGCTTTCCTTCTCTAATCAATTCCACTTCCTCCTATAAAAATCCTTCCTTTTGCGTAATCTCTCCCTCCATTGTTCCTGGCCTGCTTGGAGGTGTCCATTGCTCCATGCTCCGTGCCGCGTTGGATTGCAGGGGGAATCAACACTGGTCATTATTGCATGCGTTATTCCTGTAATTAATTCGTTCTTTTCTTATAGAAAAATCCTTCCTTTTTATGTAATCCCTCCCTCCATTGTTCTTCGCCTGGTTTGAGGTGCCACTTGGTTCCTCGTTCTTATCCTGCTTTGGTCGCAGCCTCCAAACTCCACTTGCGGTTGCTTTAGCGTGTTCATCACTTCCATTCTTTATTTGGTTGGTGACCTCCTTCCTTCTCTGTCATCGTTTTCTTTCGGCTTCGCTCTTGGCCATTTCTTCAAGGATTGTTCTGCTCGCTCCCGCTTTTCGGTAGAGAGTTCGTGGTTTTAACGACGCGTGGAAGGTTCCGCGTCGTCTTTTGACGGCCACCGTCCCTCCGGGAGTGGGTGACTCCGCTTTGTCGGAGTGGTTCGTCTGTTATCGCTTGTTTAGTCGCAAAGATTTGGTTTTTCGATCTCGGGAGGAGAGAAAGGGTTGCTGGTCGTCGTAAAAAATTGATTTTTGTTTGCTCTTTTGTGTCTCACAGTTGAGATCGGTTTCTTGCGTTGATCGAGGGCATATGATGGCGTTGCTTGCTGTGGCCGGATCGAGATGAGAGGTGGGGCGGGCGCTGCCGGGGCCGGCCAGAGCGAGGCCAGGCACCGATCGGGGGGAAGTCCGTGAGTGTCTCTGTTCTTGAGATGTTCAATTGCCTCGTGTTTCGATATAGCCATCTTGAATTCTTGCGTTCTACTGTCAAGTAATCATGAAATGCTTACTTTTGCTCTGTTCTGTTCGTCGCTTCTTGTTTTGCCATCTTTGTGTTCAATGATTTGCTCAAGAAGGAAGTGTAGAATTGAAGTCGGCAGTGACTATTTCCCTTAGTTCCGATTAGTATATTCTGATGCTTTTGCTGCTATAGGATTGGAATTGGAGTTAAACTACCATTTTAAGAATCAAGATTGACCCTAACAATGAATGCTTGCTGTTTCCGTCTTTGCTTAGCTTAGTTCATGGCTCTCCAGTTCATGTTTTCTTGGATTTATGCAATTATTCAGAAAAGAGATTTGAATCAAAATTTCTGAAGGAAGAATTCTTAGCTACGTTATGCTCCATAATCAGCTTCATCTGCTGCGTTAAATCTGCTCTTCTATTGTTGCAGAGTCATTTATCATTTTGATGTAGGTCTTCATCTGTTCTCTAGTTTCCTTGCATCATTGGATAGTCTCTTCTTCCCCTTGAACTGCTGATGCTCACCATGTCTTTGAGTTAGAAGCATGTTTCTGAAGGCTAATTTATGTTGCTTAGGTAAATCTGAATTTAATTCTATAGTCTAATCAATTAAGGAGGTTCTAAAAAGAATCGACTATGGTGGCACTTACAATGCATTTAAGTAAAATTAGTTTGAATTATACTATTTTCAGTTGTAGAATAATTGGATAGAGACTATATTAGCAGGAATGCTTTGGGACTAATCACATATGCTAGAATATAAAGAATGAAGAAAGTTCATCATCAAACATATAGTAGTTTGGCCATAAAGTCCTGTTCACAGGGAATCTAGCAATATTTGCTGCCTAGGCAGGAAGGCAGTGTCATCACTACAAACTATACCCTTTTTCGGCCACATCGACAGACACATGATGGAAAAACCTATAATTGCCAATATTAGATTTTGTGATACCATGTAACAAGGTTACATAATGTTCAGGTTTTTGTTGTGTTATTTTGGTCTATCGTAGATGGTGCTTTGTTTTTCAGGACATCTAATGCATGCTCCTAATTGAACCTTGATTTAAGGGGAAGTCGAAGGAAGAACGGCCGAGTGTAAGAAGCAACAAATCTAAACAAGGATGATGAAGGTTTAGATGAGTAGGCAAAATTCCATGTTATTTTGTAAGAAGTTTGACTAATTAATGGTAAAGAAACTAATTTTTGATTCGGAACAATGGTGAGTCAGGATGTATGAGTGTGTCATTGTGAGGTTAGCTGCCATCAACATGTCTTGTTACTGCCTCATACAAGCTTCACTGCTGTCACCTGCTTCTCTAATTTCATGTATTCTGAATCTACATGGACCGATTAGATTTCCTAATTAGTCTTTCATCCTGACTTAGTGTCTGTGCAAACAAAAGGAGCTCTTGCAGAAGCAGTGACTTCAGACAAGCCGACAAGCCATTCAACAGTTTTTTTCCAGAAAGGAATTCATCCTGGAAGCTGCACACATTGAAACTTGGCTTGATACTCATTGTATTTTGCACCTTTTTGACCTTTCTCCACTCTCCTGCGGCTTATCATAATGATCATTCGTTGCATGCTGGCTCTAGGTAAGTGCCTTTTCCTGATCTGCTTTTCATTGCTGGACTTTAATCATCACACATGTTCTGTGCTTGTTTTCCACAAACAGATGATCATATTCCATGACTTTTTACTGTTTCTGCTGGGAATCTTAGCTTATGCTGGTCAGAAATGCCAATGCAGGACCAGGTTTAAGGATGTTGGATGGTTATGGGACAAATCCAAACCTGATCCGCGGTATGTGTCGCATTCGAATGTTGATTGGGCTCAAATCATGATGTGTGTGGCACAGATGGATGCCAGTAAAGGAAATCTGAAAATTGGCTTACTGAATTTTAACATTTCTGAGATCAACCAGTGGCGTCAACTCTTACCGAACGCAGGGATTTCTGTCATCCAACTTGATTATGCAGAGAGTAAGATTACTTGGGAGGTCCTTTATCCTGAATGGATCGATGAGGAAGAAGAATCCGAAGTCCCCTCTTGTCCCAACCTACCTGAACCCAAGTTCTCTAAAGGCCTCCATTTGGACCTCATTGCAGTCAAGCTTCCTTGCAGTGGCTCAGGGAGCTGGTCAAGAGATGTTGCTCGATTGCATTTGCAGCTTGCAGCTGCGAAAGTCGCTGCAGGGTCTCCGGCAGGCCGCCACCCTGTTCATGTACTTTTCGTGACCGACCGTTTCCCTATCCCGAACCTTTTTACGTGCAAGAACCTCGTCATGAGGAGAGGAAATAATTGGTTGTACAAACCAGACTTGCATCTGTTGAAGGAGAAGCTACAGCTTCCTATCGGATCATGTCAGCTCGCACTCCCCCTCGAGGCAAAAGGTCAGTATGATTCTCATTTCTTTTCTTTAATTTGCCTTTTTATTTGGCAGGTTTTTCTCAGATTAAAATTTTAGGACTCGGCAGTTGAAAGGCTCATCAATTTCTCACTTGTACTTCCAATTAGCATCATTGAATCTGTAGAACCCAAACGTATTCACCTTCGACTCATTGTGATAACAGAGCGGCCGCAATCTGATACTCCTCACCGAGAAGCATATGCCACCATACTCCACTCTGCCAATGTTTATGTCTGTGGTGCCATTGCAGCAGCCCAAAGCATTCGGTTAGCAGGATCAAAGAGAGACCTAGTGATCCTCGTTGATGAAACAGTCAGTGATCACCACAGAGGCGGTCTCGAAGCTGCAGGATGGAAGATCAAAACTATCACAAGGATCCGAAATCCCAAGGCCGAGCGTGACGCTTACAACGAGTGGAACTACAGCAAATTCAGGCTTTGGCAGCTCACGGAGTATGACAAGATCATATTCATCGACGCAGACCTTCTCATCCTACGAAACATTGATTTCTTGTTCACTATGCCTGAGATCACCGCCACAGGAAACAACGTGACGTTCTTCAACTCGGGCGTGATGGTTGTCGAGCCTTCCAACTGCACGTTTCAGCTGTTAATGGAACATATCAACGAGATAGAATCCTACAATGGTGGAGACCAAGGTTACTTGAATGAAATCTTTACATGGTGGCACCGTATACCGAGGCACATGAACTTCCTGAAGCACTTCTGGTTCGGCGATGAGGAGGAGATCAAAGCGAAGAAGATTCGTTTGTTTGGCGCTGATCCTCCGCTTCTCTATGTTCTTCACTACCTGGGCCTGAAGCCATGGCTGTGTTTCCGGGACTATGACTGCAACTGGAACGTGGACATAATGCAGGAGTTCGCGAGTGATGTCGCGCATGCAACTTGGTGGAAAGTGCACGATACGATGCCGCAACACTTGCAGAGCTTCTGTCTTCTAAGATCAAAGCAGAAAGCTGGACTGGAGTGGGATCGGAGGCAGGCGGAGAAGGCAAATTATTCTGATGGCCATTGGAGACGAAACATTACCGATCCTCGTCTAAAGATATGTTTCGAAGACTTCTGCTACTGGGAGAGCATGCTATGGCATTGGGGCGATCCCAACTGGTTTGATAATGACACCACATCTGATCCCACACCAAAATCATAATCTTCCATTGTTCTTGCTTTGCCAATCTCGCTGAATTCTTTTCACCGATGGACATAAAAGTTCTTAGAACTAGGCTGTTTAAGAGCTTCACAGGATAGATGATGCTCTGCAAATAATATATACGTATATATAGAGAGGTGAACATCTTCTTTTTGTTTACCTTGATATCATGCTTTGTCATGTTCTGTGGAGTGTTAAGCTCCGTTTTCTGCTGTGGGTAATCTTGTTTTGGTTTCACGAACTGTTTTGTTCTTTATGTCATTCCTATCTTTGAGTGAATTGAGCAGAGAAGACATGCAACAGAGTTGTAGCTGGGGAGAAGATGACCACACCTTACCTCTCATGGGCTTGTGATTTCGAAATCCATGTTCTATCTGCCCCAAAATTGGCCTCAGAACATGCAAAAGCCTGAACACATCCCAACATGGAACAATGGACAGGGAATTCCAGTTCAGGGAAGGAAGAAACAGAGTGCTCTTTCCACTACTGTGCTACCACTTCAAGACAGAGAGTCTAAACTTGGATGTAATGCCACCCGAACGTACAAAGTGCATTATTTCAGCTGACAGATAGTGAGCAGCTTCCAAATCAAAGAGAGAAAAAGACTAGATTTGGGAATTCCATGCTGAAGTCAAGGAAGGGATGGTGACACATGGTGGTGGAGCTGCAATGACACCTGCTTCTGCGATGACTGTGACACATATCCGATTCCCCTACACCCTTTCTTTATGTAACATGCAGCTCCTTCCTCTTCTTGACCGTATCCAAGTTCTTTGCTCCTCCTTTCATGGCTATCTTAACACCACCATGTGTCCTCATGTTGTTCGTTCCATCGGTCATGGTTCTCATCTCCTCGCTCCGAGGGTTTTCTGTGGGTGAACTCGAGGTCGGATTCTACTCCACCTCTTGCCCAAATGCCGAGGAAATTGTTCGCTGGGTAGTCGCCGAAGCTGCAAATTCTGACTCTGCCATTCCTGCAGCCTTGCTGAGGCTCCATTACCATGATTGCATTGTTCGAGTACTCCGCTCTTCCACCTTCGTCCTTTTTACTGCTTGTGATTGCTCGAGCATGAGCGTTTCTTTGTTTCCATCTGTTTGTGTTCGAGGGATGCGATGGATCGATACTGATAAGAGACCCAGATGACGCCAGCCTAGAGAAGAAATCGTCAAACCACGCCGGGGTGCGCGGCTTCGACGTGATCGAACGAGCGAAAGCCAGGTTGGAAGCCGAGTGCGAAGGCGTCGTCTCCTGCGCGGACATCGTCGCTCTCGCAGCCCGCGACGCCGTCTTTCTGGTACAGACTGCAAGCCGAATGAATCATTGGGTGACGTTTCGCCTTGCGTCGAGGTTTCATGGGAAATCTTGCTGTGCATGAAGCAGAGCCGAGGGCCGTACTACGATGTCCCGACGGGGCGAAGGGACGGCAGAGTCTCCAACGTCTCCGACGCCTCCCACATGCCGGACATTCGCGAGTCCGTCGCAGTCCTCAAAGCAAAGTTCGCTAAGAAAGGCCTCTCGGAGAAGGATCTGGTCCTCCTCAGTGGTAATCGATCGACTCCTTCCTCTCCCATGCATGCGGCACGATCGATCCGCTACCTCGTTCCATCTAATCTGCAATGGCGTTCTTCCAGCGGCGCACACTATCGGAACGACGGCATGCTTCTTCCTGCAGGACAGGCTGTACAACTTCTTTGAAGGCGGCGGCTCCGACCCCTCGATCAACCCCCATTTTCTGCCGGAGTTGAAGCTGCGCTGCCCGGCGGGCGGGGACATCAACGTCCGGCTGCCGCTCGACCCCGGGAGCGAGACGGTGTTCGACATGCACATACTCCGCAACATCCGCTCCGGCCTCGGGGTGATCGAATCGGACGCCAAGCTCTACGCCGATGCGTCGACGAGGGCCATCATCGACTCCTACTTGGGCTCCCTAAGTCCAGTACCGTCCTTCGACAGGGACTTCGCGGAGTCCATGGTGAGGATGGGAATGCTTGACGTGCACACAGGCTCGCACGGCGAGATCAGGCGCGTCTGCTCCAGATTCAACTGAGCTCTCCGTCCTTTTTTGTTTTGCAATGCTCTGTGAAAAGGGACGTGTGCGGTATGCGTATAATGGCATTATAGAAAATAGGCCAACATATCAATAATATACGTTTAATGAGTTTGACGAGAGCTGAGCGAGAGAAATTATGACACCCAATTTAATTTCTTTTTTTGGGTTAGAAATCGAAGTAGATTGAATTAATTTATAAGGTCACATATCTACTTTAACTCAAATGTTTGGATACATCAATCGAATAAATCGACGAGGGCTCATATGCCACGAGATGTCTCCACGGAAGTCATTTCACCTTGACGGTGCTCCTGTGTCTCGATCCAGCGACCAAACACGCGACCTGGGGGAGGAACGGGATTGCGTCACACGTGCTTTGCGATGGCCCCACTTCAGGTACCCAATAGGAAGACGTCGTTTCCTGGTTGGTGGAGTAGGCCCGCCTGAGGATTTCTTGGCCGACGAGCCGCGTCATTTGCAACCTTGTCGAAACGGTTTGGGGTAAAAGCTGCAACCCGCGACTGGGCAACGGCGCGTCTTATCCGAAAAGGGCGAAGGAAGGAGAGGCGAGAAAGAACCGATGGTGGGGAAGAGACTCCAAGAACCCCCCAGTACGTCGCGGTCCCGTTCCGACCCATGGCTTCTCTTCTCTCGTTTTCTGCCACTCTCCACCACAACTCCCTCTCCCTTACCTCCCCCTCCGCCGCCGTGGCGAGGGCTGGGCCGTATCGGCTGCCGCGGATCAGGGCCGTCAGCTCTGCCGAGCCCCAGAAGGAGACGCCCGCCAAGAGCTCCACTGAAGCGACCAAGACGCCCGTCCCGACGCGCTCACCTACTTCCTTGCCCAAGAAGCCCGTCTATTCGAGTATTCTCCTCTTCCGTCCTCTATCTCGTCAAGCCGATTCTTGGATTTTAAGATAAACCCTAATTTTCGAGATGAAAAATAGTTCTTAGCATGGATCATGTCTCTTCTCCGCATACGTGAACAATGTTATGCTGCAGACGATTTTCTTCGATAAAAAGATGTGATTTTGAGGATCGGAAGATAGTTGGTTGAACTGTCAGCTGAAGTCTGAAGATTAAATTGGTTTGATTAAAATTGATAACTGGCTTTGTTCTGGAGAATTTATATCCTTGATTATATTGAAAGAATCTGTTTTTCTAGTCCACATTCGTTTTTGTCATGATAAGCCAACATGTTGAAATATTCTACTGAAATTAAGCTTGTTTAAGTGTAGAAAATAATATCAGTTGAAAATTCTTACAAAACATATCTCGATGGATGATTGGTCATGGAAAGAAGTTATGATTCTATATGAAAGCAACTATGTTTCCTCTTCAATTGCTGTGGGAGGGATGAAGTAGACTTTGCTCATTGTTCTTTTCTTGCAGTGAAAAAAGGGCAGATTGTGCGAGTGGACAAAGAGAAATACCTAAATAGCATCAATGTGAGCCTGTTCTGACATGCACTCTTCCTATCTGTGCCATTATTTATGTTCTTTTTCTCCATTGTTATTTTGTTTATGAATGAGCTTCTAAGAACAAATTCAAGTTTCCTGATTCTCCAGTTATCCTAAAAGAATATATTTTCTTTGCTCTCTAAGCCTCTCCTTGCAATGTGTCATACATCAGCATTGTTGCATCGGCAGTAGCTTTCCAAACTCTATTTAGTTACAAAGTGGAATTCAATTTTAAAAGCTATGGTTTGTGCATGTTGATGGTAGATAGATAGTTGATGTGCAAAGATTGAGATAATGAGAAAGAGGTTTTAGGTCATGCATGCTGGATTGACATAAGTTGCATATTTTTCTTATATTATGCAGCATATAAGTAAGGGTTTGGTGGTGGTGAGCGTTGACTACAGATGAGCCACATTGTCTGTCACAGCACAAACAAGATTTACAAAGCCTAAAGAGAAAAAGCGTAGAGAGGACAAAGCACTAGGGGAACAGAGAGCACAATGGGAAGGGGGAGGAGGATTTGTACAAATTGGAGGGTCGATAGATTTTGACTATAGAATTAAGTCATGGAATAGGCTGGAATTTGAAAAGCCAAGCCCTATCTTAAAAGGAATAATCGAGACATGTTATTCAACTTATGAAGAGTGTCATTTGTTCCCTTTAGTTGTTTGTCTAATTTTGTTAGGATTGAGAGCTAGATTTGCTTCTGCTGTTTAATTTTGAACAGAAGTTGATTCAAATTTTGTCAGATTATTTTCACAGAGTGGTTAAAAAGAACATTTAGCTGCTGACTTGCTTATATCTTTATTGAAGTTTGTGTTCATTACATTACGTTCTGAGTGCTTATACTATCATAACAAAGTTGTCATATGGATAACCAGTTATACTTTACATTTCAGTATCTGTCTGTTGGCCACCCTCCTTATTACAAGGGATTGGATTACATATATGAAGACCGTGGTGAGGTGCTCCCCACTTTGTTACACCTTTTTAGTTGATATTGGCACATTCAACTTGTTTTTGTCTTTCTCATGTTTTATTTCCACTTGCGTAATCAATCCAGTAGTTGTGCTTTTTTGTGCTCATATTGTATTCTATCTCTTTGCTGTTTACTTTGTACTTTTAGGTCTTGGAACTCCGAATTTTCGAGACTGGGGAACATGCTCTTGTAAGTAATTCTCATTCTGATCCCTGCTTCTTCTTCTTTATTTACTACTCCAAAGATATCCTTCTTCCTTAATGATTTTATGCTGATGGGCTTGCAAAGGCTCCTCTGGAGGCTTTTTGTAATATTACTTTGTTCATTTCAATTTATTTTGGATTAACCTTCATAACAAGTCTGGCCAGCTTCCAGTTTTTCTACTGTTACTCTATGTTGAATAACAGTCAAATTCTTGTGCTATATAGCTACTATAACCTGCCTCTTTCCATATGTTGCTGTTTTATGCTATCCCGAAACTTGTTTCCCTCTAAGTTTATTTGGAGCTTTCTTAAGTACGAAAGAAGTGCACATAGCCAACTATTGATGAGCCTAGAGCGGTGGAGATCTAATTGCTAATACTATTGATTGCTCTGTCAAAGTGTTTTTAAAAGCGTTAGGTGCCAAGGTCTCGAAATGCCCGAGGCGCTAGGTGCTCGCCTAGGCATCCGCCCGAGCGAAGCAAGGCACTCCTGAATATTATAATTAAAATAATATGCAGCTAAATAGAAATATGCTAAATACGTTTATGGAGACTTATGTTAGAATTAAACTGCTCCAAAAGTATCTTGTTAACTAGGAATGATTTGCTCCTCTAAGACATCATTAAGTAAAAGCTAAGGGAGTTTCATGTATAAATCGAAGTGCATATTGTCCATGGTGTTGTAGATACAACAAATATATTTAAATTGCTCCAAATGAGTTGCTGCTCATCCATTCACAATTTAATTAACTAGAAGGTGAGGGAATGGACGAAGCAGTTTAATTAACAAGAAGGTGAGGGAAGCAGAGGGCGGTGAAAGAAACTGCAGTTACGAATGAACGAAGCTGCAGCGGAGGACGAAGGCAGCAGATGATGTTGTTGATGACGGCGGACAGAGCTGCAGTGTCGGATGGAGCGTGCAAAGGTGGTGAGCGAAGGCGATGAAAGAGGCTATCGTCGGCGGCAGACAGAGCTACTACAGTAGCAGACCAAGCTATAGTGGTGGGTGAGGTTTAGGGTTTAGATGAGCTGTAGTGGCGGACGAGCTGCAGCGATGGACGAGTTGCAGTGACGGCAATCGAGTTGCAACGACGAACGAGATTGGATGAGGCTGCCGATAATGGCGGCCAGAGCGAACAAAGGCGACAAATGTAGGGTTTCATTTCACCTTTGTTTTCTTTTACTGGGTCGGGCAAGGGAGGGGGTTGGACGGTGTTAGGGTAACTACGTTAGTTGGTTCGATGGAACCAACTTATAAGTCCAATCGAACCAAAGTTTGAACCCAACCAAATTTGGCTCGGGCGCTTGCCCGAGGCGCTTGACCCCTGGGCTCAGGTGAGCGCCCAAGTAGTGCTTCATTGAAGCGTTGCGCCTAGAGTTTCTGCAAGGCGCTCGGGCCTCACCTTGCCAGAGTGCCCGAGTGCCTTTTGAAAACATTGCTATTTCAAAAAGTGTCTGGTACTACTTTGAGCTGCGTTCTTTTATCCGAGTCCTTTGGTTTATGTTGGCCAAATGAGTCTTAAACCTACTAGGAATTAAGTTCATGAATCCATGGACTATACGTGTCCATAAAGGAAATACCTCGCATGATAGCTTCTCATATTCTGTGAAGTATATTTACAGCTTATCTTCACTTAAACGAAGTCCTAGAGAAATCTATGGAATTTTATAGCAGTAGATAAGCAACTAAAGGCATTGTAGGAAATAGCAGTAAAAAATCTTGTTGAGTTGTTGTAAGTGTTGTTTAAGTTTCCAGTATTCTGCATTTGATTACTGTAACTGAACTAAACTGCTCAAAATCTGCTCCTTTTCCATTCTGTTTATGGCCTTTTACTATACCTTTCTCTGATATATACTACTTGAGTTGTAAATGAATACTTAAGTTGAAAGCCTGTTTAATGTTTTGCTTGAAAAATCACTTGTAGCTTATAGGGTTTGACATTTATATCATCATACTGTCACGTACTTAGCTGAGATTGCCTAAGGTATGCGGCACCCAAACAATATTCATCCACAAGGGTCATCTTAGACCTTAACTTCGTGCAATCCACAAAGGACTTGCACAAAGAAGAAAAATGTTAGAGAAACGGACATGTGGGTAATAAGATAACTAGGATCGCAAGAAACCCAAAGCAATTTGCTTTTACTCGACACAAAAAGCTCTCGGAAATGGGTTGAATGACCTCACACAAAGGGGGGAGGGTTTGAAGGCAGGTGCATGCCCAATGTTCACATAGCACTTTCGTCGAACAGAATGCGGGCACACTAAAGATGTTGCGCTACATCTCAGACATATAACCAAGGCCCCATCAGGTCTAATGCTGCCCAGGGGGTTCTAGGATGCTGAGAACATTTCGCACTGTAAGAAGATCAGCTAGAAACCAGCTTATGGCACCTAAGAACTGGTTTGTTTTGGCTATTTTCCTCTCCGTGTGACGCCGCATAGTTAGAAATATTCCGAGTTCTACAAAATAGAAAAAAATAAAACAAAAAAATCAACAACAAATCAAAATGAGGTTGATGGGTACTTTCTACCCTATACATGCTACCTACAAGAAAACACTTGAAAACACTAAAAAAACAATGGGAAACAAGAACTGAAAAGTGTTATGAGCATGCGTTAAAAATCTTGACTTCATTGCTCCATGATGGTGCATCCAAGCTATATCAATGATTGATCATATATTCTTGAAGCTTTTTGACCCAATCCTGCCAAAAGTTATGGTTGGTTATTGAGGTTCATGGAAAAAAAACTTGTCACCTTTCTTCTCTTTGTATTATATAACTCAATCAAGTGTTCTTGTCACAATCCAACCTGATGGGATAACTCGCCTATCGAACATCTTGACCGCATTGCTTCATGATGGTACATCCAAGCTATATCAATGATTGATCACATATTCTTGAAGCTTTTTAATCCTGCCAAAAGTTGGAAAAATACTGATCACCTTTATTCTCTTTCGATTATATAACTCGGGCCAAATTGTTTGAGGTTCATGGAAAAAAACTTGTTATCTTTCTTCTCTTTGGATTATATAACTCAAGCAAGTGTTCTTGTCAGAACCCGACTTGATGGGATAACTGGCCTGTCGAACATCTTAATCGCATTATTTCATGATGGTACATCCAAGCTATATCAATGATTGATCATATATTCTTGAAGCTTTTTAATCCTGCCAAAAGTCAGAAAAATATTGGTCACCTTTATTCTCTTTGGATTGTATAACTCAATTCAAAATGCTTAATTGACATCCTCGTTAAGGCCCAACATAACGATGTGATAATTGACTTGTCAACTTCGTTTAGCCCAAACTACTGGTCAAATACTTAAGCTGAAATTGATAATAGTATACTTAGTAGATCCTTATAAGTGAATCTTAGTTTTACCCACTTTCAATGTGAGACTAATCGAGGTTTTACAGTTAGCGGTTCAAATCAAATCGATAAGGATCGAACTGAATCGAACCATTTTTTCGGTTCAGTTAAAGTAAGGTAGTCCAAACTGGAACCAATTTGGATCTACCTAACGTAACTGATTTAAAACCGGATAATCCGATTCGGTTAATCGGTTTATAATTTTAACTTAAAAAAAATATTTATTAAATGAATCAATTCAATTTAATCAAATCGAACCAGAATCTTGGTCTAATTGGGTGACACGACAAGATTTGTGAAATTGAGCCCATGTCATTTGTAAAATTGGGCCTTTGAGTTGGTTTGATTAATCGGTTTGAACCAGTTAATAGCTTAGGATAGTGAACTCAACCTGATTGATATCTTTGAAATTAAAATCGGTTCAGCTTGAACCAGTTAACCGAACCACAGAAGAGTACCCTCAAATCAGAACTGTTTATAGCCTTCAAGATGGTGAATCGGTTTGGACCAAACCAGTTTGGTTCAGGTTTGGTTCCAGTTGGATTTGATTTTCGAGTTCAATTTGAACACCCCTAGTTATAATTCTTCTCAAGCTTGAGGCTATCTAAAATTTTATAAGTAATGCTCTAGTCTAGTTTGATCTGATATACATAATGTTGAAGATTATCAAGCTGATTGTAGTCAAGTCATGTATGGCTTTGCTTGAAATTAGGCTTGATCTTTATCAAGCTAGTTAGCTTGGTATGCCGTTCTAGTTTTTATTAAAATCATTTTGAGTTTGATCAGGGACTAATTTGATTGAACCAACCACTGGTGCCTTCTCCAGATATGATTGCTTAAGAATTAATCAAGAAGTCCAAGTGCTAGCGCCAGTTGAAGTCTGGTTTAGTTTTTCTGTCACATGTTGCTAGTTACTAAAGTCATGGCAAAACCTCATCAGATTCAGCTTTTCTATAGTTGGCCTTTTACCTCAACAGCATAATACTTTCATTGTTAATAAACCTTCTGCCATTGGCTTGTTTGTGTAACTATGATTTTTATTAATGATGCATCTAAATCTATCATTCAAATGTATCTTTTGTTCGATCAGATCCTATTCTTCATCGGTACTTCCTTTATTTTGTTTTAATGATAAGTAACTTCAATCTCGATATGTCTGCCACTAGAGAGATTTCCTTTTTTGGCCAATATATGGTGTAACCAGAGGCTGGAATTCAATATAATTTCAACTTTTTTTATTTCTAACCACAGGTTGCTTGGGTAGGGATTCCTACTGCACCTGCATGGCTACCAACAGACATGCTTATCAAGGTTAACGCTTCTATCTAAAATACTTTTGACACTATTCACGTTGTAAGATTACCGGCATGTGTTGAATGTTCAGTGAAATTGGGGAGGACATACTGAAGGGACTAACTAGAGGAATGAACAGTTTGTTATTACTGAAAGAAGCAGGAGAATGAGCTCAAGTGATTATATATCATCCACACATATATCCCTCACACTTATAACATCATTTTTGCAGTCGGAGAAACTCGACTACGAGAGGATGTGACCTGGGAGGGAGCTTCATCCTTATGTAGTATATTTGCAGAGATCAATGATGTCATTCACACCAAAGTTGTTTCTTGTTTTTCTTATATGTTCAATGACAGATATTTTGCAACAAAAATATATGTTCCGTGAACACATTTCGTTTGTGGTTTCGCACAGTGCTGTCTGGTGTGGGTAGTCCAATTCAAGTTTGGCTGCCTGCCTTTCTTTGTCAATGGGACAAGTCAAAGTGTGTTCGTCGAGATGAGTTTCTTCGCATCTAATGTGGACTAAACCAAAACTCAGGTTTGCCTCGGTTTAATTTATTGGGTCAATTGGTAAGATTTGTCGAGTCATTCCTAAACTTAGAGAGTTCGGAGAATAGTAGAATTGCTCGATCCAAAACCGATTTACCTGCAATTTTTTTTGCTTCTCCAAACTCGAACTTAAATATTCGGAACTTAAATTTAATTTCGCGAAAGACAACATATGAAAATAGTTGTTATTAATTTTCTTAATCGACTAATCTTTGAAAGAATAGTGATAAATAATATTTAAATTCGACTTAAGCGAGTATCCGACCGCTGTAGTTTTACGCAACTGTTTCTAAAAGAAAAATAAAAAAAAGGAAAAGGCATAAAAAATTAAGAGAAGGGAAGCCTTTCGTATTTTGGCCTCTTTATGACTCGAAGCCCCTTTGTTTACGGAGCCTCGCTTTGTTTCTCCGCTTTGCCTCCCCTATCGGACGTCGCAAAACCATCGCGGCCGCCTTCGATGGGCTCGTCCTCCTCCCCCAAAGCCCCCGAGAGCCTTAACCGAGAGAACCACGATGATGGCTCCGCCGCCTCTTTCTTCGACATCTATGGACCTGACGTAAGCATCCTTTGTCCTCTCTCTCTCTCTCTCTCATCTTCGAAAACATGATCTCTTGGAAACCTAGGGTTTCCCTGCGTGCCGAGAGTTTGTCTTGCTTGTTTTTTTTTCTTTCTTTCTTGAAGTTGTTTGAAGAAAGGTGTGACCCTTTTGAATCTCCCTCTGGTTATCGTTGTAAGTGGTGTGTGATTAGTCAAAGATTGGCTGAAGCGAAGCCGGAGTACCACTGGGATGCGTTTACTGAGGTACTCCGCGACCAAAGTTGGATTTTTGGTTTCCTAGTAATATGGAATAATTTTTTACTGAATAGAATGTGACTATTGTGGATTCAGTTTTGAAGTCCCATGAGATGCAATGCTTGCAGTTAATCCGCTACCACACATGGGATTTTGCCTGTATCTGTTGCTACGTATTCCATTGGCATCGACTGTCTATTGTCTTGGTTACCGAAGACTCATATTTTACCTTTTTGGTTTAGTATAAGGGCACAACACTCCTGCTAGGTGCAGGTACTGTCTATGCCTCTGTCCCAGGAGAGCCAACAAATAACTTTTTAGGTCAACCCAATTGTAATTTCCATGTCAATACTTTGGACATGTCTGGTTTAAAGCGAGTGGGGAATCAACCGACTCTTTCAAACAAAATGTTCTGTCTATATCCTTGGTCCTTAAATGACTTGAGCTGTGTTGCGAATGTTAACTTATTTTAAATATTTGTTATTTTGAAGAAGATGATGATGCTGACAAAGTTGGCATATAAAGTTGCATTGTCAAGTAAATAATTTAATTTCTATTTAAAACTATGTTTTTTATAAATTGCATGATGTTTCTATCTAATTATTTGGTGATCTGATGTGCAGTTATCCTGTTTGTGTTTAATATATGTTATGGATTATGTCTTGCAGGGAAAGGCTGATGTTATATATAAAACCCCTGCAGCTGATTCAACTCTAAATCTTCAGGTTATGCAGTACTTTTTTTTTTTTATGAAGTTTCTCGCTCTATTAAATTTTGACATGTGTTTCTTGTGAAGCAGGATATTCAAGGGCTTGTAACCTGGGTCATTGGTGATGGTCTCATGCCATCCTGGGTTTTTGTCAAGGTACAAATGCTTTTCATTTTCTTACTATGATGATGTCTAGTATATGTTTTTCAACATGTTTAACTCCTATAATTTAATGGACTGTAAGACTCTCACCCTTTTACCTTATGTATTCAGTTGAAATTGATAAGAGGCCAAATTTGCGTAACTTATTAGCTGTTCCCAATAAACCATGATTTATTAGCTGTTCCTATAATTTAATGGACTGGAGGACTCTCACCCTTTTACCTTATGCTTGTGAGGTTTTTTTCCTATAAATATCTTTGGTAAAAAAGGAATGTTCTTTGTCATTCATGAGTCCATAATTTAATCATTGAAATCTTTTGTTGCACCTACTGCTCACATTTTCTTGCAAAGTTCCTGCCTTAGTGATGGATAACATTGTTGCCTAATCCGCATTCAGATCTCAGTCGGATATTATTTGGATGAAATGGTAGTGCATTATAAAGGCTGGTGTCTGCTTATTGTCGTAGTTGAGGAGTTATCTTTGCCAGATGTATCACTAACATAGCACAATATGATACCTTCTGGTTCATCATTGAATGTATAGAGTCCCTATGGATAAACCCTTTCTTGAGATTCAGCAATGGGATGGAAGAACTCCAATTTTTTTGTGGTTTATGTTTCATGGACATGTCAGAACAAGTTTAGGGATAGGAAATGCTGGAACATGATCACAGATTGAGGTTGTTGTGAAAATTATGTGATTTGGTTATTAATTGTGTGATTTGATTAAGAAATTTTGTCCTTATGCTTATTTGTTTGAAAATTGTATTTTAGAATGAAAACTCAATATTTATGGTGATCAACAATATTCCGTTGGTCTGTTTCTCATTGATTATCATTCAACTAAAATGTGGATTCATATTCAATGACACTACCAAGGATGTATATGTTAGTTGCATTTGTCAATGTGTTGATGTCATTCATCTTTCTAGCTCTTGTTGTTTCATCTGCTCACGCTAAAAACCTTCTTGTCTGGCGAAACATCGACCACCCTTATGCTAGTTTTTTAACTGCCCTAATGCCATTCATTTGCAGTCAAGTACTTGTATCATGACTGATTTATTTGAATAACATGTGATGCAGTTCTTGTGTCTTTAGTAGCACCTAATCAATCTCTTTATTTTTCTCAGAACAAGCCACTTATACAGAAAGTCATACTACTCTATATTCCAGGCCTGGATGCAGCTTTGTACATGGAAAACTCTGGCCTACTTACTGGTCTACGGGACAGTTGTGGTGCTCCCAAGCCAGCATTGGCTTTAAGGTCTGTGGCTGAGTATTAGTTTCTTGACTTGCTTCTGGAACATTTCTGTCAGCACATGAGCTTATGTTTATTGTTTTAAGATACTTGCTGGAACATAGACATCAGTATTGTTAATTTACTATGTTAGATGTCAGTTGTGTTTCAGATGAATTGCAAACAATTGATGCGCTTCTAACATGCAAAGTGAAAAGAAAGCGTGATGAGGTTGATTTAAAACCCAAGACATCTGGTCAAACTTTCGAACAAGGTATGTATAGTTCTCAGTGACATGATGCATTTGATGTTGGCGAACACTCCATATGACATGGGCAATGAGAGTTTTGCTTGATAGTGCATTTGGCTTTCCATTGTTGAGTGTAGTATGGCATGGACCCTTAATGCTGATGGCACACGACACGTTACAGCATGGCTGGAAACTTTCCAAAATTTGAAAATCTACTGCTTAGCAAATCCTAAATTGTTACTGTTAAATTAAGTTTGTGCCCAAACCGAGTACTTGTGTTGTTAGAACTAATTCACATGTGTTAACCTTTCCATTATATTAAGTGGATTCATCGACTTCTTTTTTTGCTTTTAGTCTGATGCTTCCTTAACCCATCGTTTGATGAAATCTAAATGTCTAATTAGAATTTCATTTCTTTGTGGTATTACCCAACAGTGCAATTTGTGCAATCTATTATATTCAGTTCATATGTCTACAACATAAATTTCATTATATTCTTAAACAAATAATAACTATGCTTCTTGCAGGAGAATTATTTGCTCTGGAAAATTTAAGGGAACTGCCCTTTCCTATCCACTATTATACCCTTTCCAGAAAGGAACTTGAGGATAATGGATATATCTTGAATCAGCCAGGTAGTTTGCTGATTTATATATTTCTTAGTCCTTCTATTAGTTTGTGATGCTAAATCTATTATGCAGGTGTGATCGCCACTCTTCCTTCTCCTTCAGGGTCCCCATTGCATGAAATTCTTGCACTTGACTGTGAGATGGTAACATTTACTAAAAATAATGTTTTAGATTGAATTTATTCATTACAAACTTCTAGTGGATGCTGCTCATAAGCTTATCAGATAACATTCTATCATCTTGAGGTGTGTTTATTCTACATTGAAACTTAATGCTTAGTTATTATGTTGTAGGAACCTTATCAAGAAGAACCTCAGCGCAAATTTATAACCCATTACAGATTTTTTTTACTGAGCAAAAATGATCCTGCGAACTGAATGAGTTGAAGATTATGTACCCACCATTTGTTTAAAGGAATTGTTTGTCATGTTTAAAATGCTCCTTCTTCCTTGGATCAGATAAGGATTATAGGATTGGGACTGCTGTTATGTAATGCTAGGTTTGCATTCTTTGTCACATTATGATATATGAAACTATTTTTATATTGTTTTACCTGTAGAAAAAAAAAAGTTAGTTAACAAACAAATCTGTTACGATATAAGAGACATTGATTCTAGACCCAGAGAAGGTCCTGATCCAAGTCTAGGCATGACCATTCCTTAAGTACAAGAACTTGGTTGAGATAATGAGTTGGATAACAGGCCTCATGCATGGATGGTATGCAAAGGGATTCATGGTATATGAAACATATTTCAAAATAAACTGATGGCCAAGATGATCAGGAACTTGGACTAGTGAAATGTGGGTATGGATGAGGTTGAGATTGTCAGTCAAATGTTAACAAGAATAAAGGAATATTAGAGGTTGCATAGAGATTGAGAGCCAAACAATTAAGAAAACTAGCAATATGATTCTGAAATAAATTTGAAAGTTAAAGAGTTCAGATGAAAAAAGATGATAAGGGATAAAGGGCTGAATTTATTATGGTTGTGGACTCACTCCATATCGCCCCTTTGTGCACACACAAAATCTACAGCCTCAGACCATATGCCAATAAGGAAATTT